TGTGTGTGTGTGTGTGTGTGTGTTTGTACCTGTCGAGTCTCTGAAGCGTTTCTTAGCCTCGGCTCTCTCCTCAGAGTCAAAATACCAAACTGTGATGGCGTACCTGAAACAGAGACAATAGTGATGTTTAATACATCTCTGGGTTTGTAGATTTCATTTGAAAAATCACTTTTTAATTTCTTGTTGCACTTAAAGTCAGAGTTTGTTTCACTGAAGTAGATCTAGTGTCTGTGAAGCAACTAAAATATACTTTTAGAATAAAGTCTGAGTTAAACTGCCTGTGTTTCCTAACACAGCGTGCAAAAATGCTGCCTCTGTATACATCTGAGGCAGCCAATCAGAGATGAAAGGTCATGACATTAGTTACTTCACATATTACATTCACATATTCATAGAGAAGATACATGTAAAACATATTAGCCTCAAAGATGTTGTTTACTGGTTTGGGTGTTATTTCACTTTTGCACCAGCAGGTGGAGCCAATGATCTGTGGATGAGGTGTTTCTGTCCTCAGTGAAAATAAAAGGATTCAGCACTTTAAATGCACCTGATTAATTCAATTAAACTGCATCTAATCTGTTTTAACTCATAATAAAAAGCACACACCTCTGTTGTGCTGTGTCAGAGTTTGCTGATGTCAACACACTTTCAACACTAACAGAAAATAATATTTACTGAACTTCATTTGATGTTAAAGGTTATTTCCTTCCCAGAAGACCTATCTGTTAATGTAGCAGAGACAGTAGCTTCCTGTTTTTGTGGGCACAGTGAAACTGTAGTTCATCAATTTATTTTAATTGTATTTTCGAGGTTCTGGTGCTTTAGTTTCAGCTTTTGTAGAAGAGTTTCATTTTTTCCTCCACTGCATTCAAGAGGGGAAATTATTGTACTATTTGCTCTCCTACATTTATCTGATCATCATCTGTTAGACGGAGAGGTGAGGTAAATGTTTGAAAGTTTTGGGTGGTAAAGTGGGAGCTGACACAGGTAGACAGGATGTGCAGGATTCATTATCTTCAGTATTCAAGTCCTCTGACTTAAACTAATGCATCAATTAATCATCCCAAATGGGATCTAAAAAAGTTCCAACAATGTTTAAAATGATGCCAAACAAAAATATCTCTCTCTATCTGTAAATTCATAGAGATTTGAAGATAACTTTTCTTCCTCCCTACAGGAACTGAACACCTCTGTCTTTAGTTATCAGGATTATTGATTGATTGGTTACCTGGTGGCGTACGAAGGCTGCACCTCATGTGGGTTCCTGCGGTCGGACCAAAACAGGAGCAGCCGGTCAAACAGCGGCTTGATGTCGGCAACATAAGGTTTCCCCTCTGGAAAGATCCTGAGGATGCCGCCGTGCTCCTGATCAACGACAACAACACAAAGATCAGACACCACGAAGACGAAGATGAGCTGAAGGATGAAGAGAAACTCTCCTCCTTCTCAAGCTAAATTAACTTTAACTGCTTTAACTACATTTTGCTGATACGTACTATAATCTGAGTCATGATCACAAGAGATCAGAGAATTTAAGATAATCAATAAAATCACAATCATAAAGAGATTAAAGTTCAAGCTGAGAGTGATAGAGTGTGAATTCAGAAATGAGCAGAGGTTCCTGAACGCACCTTGGCGTCCCAGTTCTTGTTGAGGTAGTAGATGCAGGTGATGCAGCGTCCGTCGTGGTTTGGGTTGTCCACGTGTTTGACGTAACCTGCCCCGTTTCCTGGGTAACACGCCACCATGGCCTAAAGACACACACAGACAACACACACTTTATTAGACCTCAGTGTCACACACAGTGTTTGAGAACGTTCAGCGTGTTTCAGAGCGACACTACAGGAGTAGAAACCTGCACATGGAAGGGCAGGTTAAGGCAATAAACACAAACAGACACGTTTGCAAGAGATTTTGAAACAACATAAAACTTGTAGGGAACCGAAAATGTTCGGTATCATAATGCAACAGACAATGAGTGTTGACTTAAGGAAAATGTCACTACGCTGATGATGTGGATCTTTACAAATGTTCTTTTACTTGTTTATAAAGCTTCAAATGACCTCGCCCCTCCACACATCATGGAGTTTCTATCATTTTATGTTCCAGCCACTGAGGTTCTCCACTTTGCTTTATTTTTAAATGTTCCTCATGTGTCTGCTGCGAGCGGTTTCTATTTTTATGCCCCTAAACTGTGGAATTCACTGCCTCTGGATATTAAAATGCTGAGCTCCTTCTCTGTATTTTTAGAGTAAATTAAAGACCCATCTTTTTAATCTGGCCTTTTAATGTGGAGTAACGTCACAGTCTTGAAGTTTTAACCACTGGTTTGTACCTTATTTTATCCCTCCTGTTTATTTTTATTCTATTTTATTTATTTACTCTTTTTTGATTCTGCGGATTTTGGATCGGCTTTCTTTTTGGTTTGTTTTTTAAAATATTTTATTGTCTTACTGATGTAATTTTTTTAGTCCTGCAAAACTTTGTGTGTGTGTCATTACAGTTTTGCCATGTGAAGAACTTTAGGCTGCATATTTGTATGAAAGGTGCTATATAAATAAAGTTGAGTTGAGTTATTCTTTGTTCGAATCATTTCTGATTTCAAATAAACATTTTGACAACCTACTTTATTTATTTGTCTTATTTAGGTGCTCTTGTTCAGCTGTTTGTATTTGGACATGAAACAATTCACAACTGTCAATTCTTTTGTTGAAAGAAAAAAATACATCATCTGTAAAAACGAGTTTATATTCCCCCGAAGTAAGTTATGTAAAACAAAAGAAAGTATATTTTGGACACTCAGGTTTTGTATCAGCTTTATTACACAATCCAAGCGATACAAAGCTCGAGTGATTCTCCTCACTATGATAGAAAATACAAAAACTGTTTGCTCTGAAGAACAAAGCGCAGTGTTTTTATCGATAATGAAAAAGAAGAACATGAGGGAAAAAGGTGTGATGCAATTTCAAAACAAAAGCTGACAGATGTGATTACAGAAACTTCCTCTGTGTGTGTGTGTGTGTGTGTGTGTGTGTGTGTGGGGGGTGGTTATTTGCCAATATTTCTGAATACATCGGGTGTGTGTCGTGGTTATGTGCCTACGACTTGAGCTGCACGTAGACAAGTTGCTGCATTCGTGTGTACCCATGTGTTGCATGCCTCTGTGTGTGTGTGGCGGGTCAGTGCAGGGAGGAAACTTGATCAGTCACACTTGGTGGTGGTTGCAGCAGTGATAAGAGCAGTCGAAGCCTTAATGACTGAGTAGAGTAACGGCTTAAAGACAATCAGGATTCTGATGTTAGTGAGGAGACGACAACTAACAAATAGATTTTGATGATAAAAACTAAGATGAAATCTATGTTTCAGTTTGGCTGACTAGATGTGACAAAAATGTTAGTGATCGACTATCCGACACTGAAAACCAAGAACGGCCGTGCTTGTAATTCCGTTCAAATGCCACATAAGTGACAGGCTGGTAAACTCCAGTAAATAGTCTGCACCACGATGTTTTAGTAGCCAGAAGAAACAGTCAGAGCGGAGCAGCGTCAGCCGTTGGTGCGAGTTGAGAGCTGTAATTCAGCAGTAAATAATCAGACGTGTGTGTGTGACCGTGGATGGTGGAGCTGCTGAATGGATTTGTGGAGTTTGTTAGTTGCAGCGATGGCTGTTAGCAGCTAGCTCCACTTGTTAGCTGCTGAACGGCAGCGGAGCAAGCGGCCACCGACGACAACTTCGGGAAGTTTTCTGGGTTGATGGTGTTTGACAGGCAGGTAGGAGGCTCAGTTATCTGTGAGTGTAACTGCGCTGTAAGTAAACAGTCTGAACTCGTTTCTGGGAACAGCACACAGGTGAGGTTGGGACTTTATAAAAAGGTAGTGACCAGGTAGTAGCAGCATGTACTGAGGAGGACGCTACAAAGCTTGCAACACAGCAATGACGAAAAAAGCGAGGTGAAATGCGAAGCAGACAAAGCTCGATCCAAAACGAGACTGAATCTGGGGTCCGCCTTCACTTTCACATTTGATGGCGAAACTTTCTATAAACTGTAACAGACAATTCATGCATACTCCTAATATTCTCTATGCCTGCAAATACTACAAGACAACGGGTCAATATTTTTACTCATGACAGCTTTGGCCTGTTTAAAGTTTACAGTCTTTACGATACAGATATTCAATCAAATAGAAGAAACTCAAAGGGTGTAAAACTATATTCCAGTAAAAGTAAAACATACTTAAGACAAAAGAAAAAGTCAACTCCAGTGCTCCCATCATCCTAAAAAGACCTGCCCCACTCACTGCAGCGATGCAGGAAGTGGAAGCTGATTGGCTGAGAGCAGGAGACGGTCATCAGACATGAGACTGTGTCAGAGTCAACAAGAAGCCCAAACTGAGGATTTCCTTCAGGAAAAACAAACAGCTGATTCTCTGTCGCTAACGCACACGACCCCTGAGAGGTTACTACAGGTCATCTCAGTGAGACGGCTTCAGCTGGTTAAAACACAGGGTTTTCTTCACAGTCTTAACACTGTAGAACTTTGCACATTAGTCAGGTACAAACATAAAAGTTTGGAATCAGCAGCTGTTGATGTTTTTCTTCTTCCTTTCAATAATGTCTATTTTAAACAGATTTTAAAAGTATAATTCCACATTTACTCTATTCTCATTCTCAGATTAAAAGGACTGTTTGGGTCTCTGGTTTTGATTTAAACTGGTTCTCTCCATATTTATCCAACAGATCCTTCTGTCTTTATCAGTAACCCTCTTTCTTCCTCGGCTCCCATCTCCTGTGGTGTACCCCAAGGTTCAATACTCGGTCCAGTTCTCTTCTCCATTTTTTTACTTCAGCTGGGCTAAATTATTCAGAAATATAACATATATTTTCACTGTTATGTGAACAATACACAGATCTACCTCCCCTTAGAGCCAAACAACATCAACAAACTAACTGAAGTCAACAACTGTCTTCACGACATCAAATCCTGGATAGCTAAAAGTTAAACCAAACTAAATTTATTTCATTTGGACCACAGCACTTGACCAGCAGTATTTCCCCTCATCTTGGCCCTTTGGCCCCCTCTGTTAAGTCCCATTAAATTTAGGAAATCTTAAAATCTTTAAAAAAAAAAAAAAAAATCTTAAAAATATATATAAATAAAAATAAAACAAGAAATGGCCAAGTCTCATCAAAATAACAGCTGATTACGAACTTTTCAGCAGTTGTGTATGAACCTAACTAATGTGCAAACAAACATGTTTTTCTGAGTGTTCATGGTCGCTCACTGAAAAGGCAAAACCCATTTACTACTAAATGATGTCAGCTGTGTCTGCTGTAGCTGCGTCATCACCGACACATCCTTTCTTTTCAGCGCTCTTATTGTGAAACTGTGAAAGACGAAAAGCTTCACACGCTATGGAAAATCTCACATTCCGCTCCCAACCTTTTCTTTACAATCACAAACACGCTTTATACCAGAAGGTCATTGCGTAGATTAACCCTCATCAAATACATGGGTCCCTGAACGCAACATCAACAACATCTTTGGCAACCGAACTGACGTCACCGTTTACCACCTGATGTCTGTCTTCACATGCAACCACACTGAGTCCATGCCTCCCTCTATCGCTCTACATGTTAAGGGGGGAAGTTAGCAGTTGGGTGGGGGAGGGGGGGGTCGAGCCTTTCTCAGTGTGCACGCAAGGGACTCCAGAGCTGCACGTAGCTTCAGCCTTCCTCTGCTGCCGCTGACGACAAACCCCCAGCACTGATAAAGAGTGGCTGACCTGCTCCAAAAATCACAGGCGAGCTGCACTCACTCTGTTGGGGGAAGGAGGAAATCACGCAAGTTTGTTTACACGCCGCCACTAGCGCACGTATACACACACACACACACACACACACACACACACAAACATCATCATCACCATCACCACCACGTAACTGCTATGAAGTGAAACTATGTGGAGAAACACAGGAGGGCTGGGCAGAGAGGAAATGATACACTGTGGAGGAAAAAAAAATGACTCAAAACAAAACGCCTCACCGAGCCTTGCGCCTCAACTTTATCTTATCTTTCTCATAGAAAGGAGGAGGAGGGAGGGACGAAGGGAGGGATGGAGTGCTCTGAGGTCTGTGCAGTTGTTTGGCTGGTTTCCAGTCTGCTTAAGTCTTTAATGACAGAGCTACGTGTGGAGCGTGAGGCTGCAGTCTGGATCGATTTCAACGGCATAAATCTTAACAGTGATTCCCAAACTGACTGGACTGGAGCCAAAACTACACGGGTATAGGCGCCAATAATAATACAAACACTGGAGTGTTAAAAGAATCAGATATCATTCATCCAACATTCGTGCATTTGAGCCCAAAGTTCCGATAGTTAGATATTTTTTGATGCAATCGTTCCTCTAGTTTGTAGTGGCGGTGAGGACGACCTCCCCCTGTTGTCTGTCAGTTTCATGGTTACAGTTTGGGTTGAAACTAACTAATTAAATTCAACTTTATTTCCCTATTTTATATTTTCTCTCAGGAATTTTCTCTGTTGCCATCAGGGCGTCGTTACACTTGTAAAAAATCTTTTATTCCCTCTGCAATTCGTCTTTTAAATTCTATATAAATTTGTTTTTATTGTTTTTTGTCTCTTCTATATGTCATTAACTTTTACTGTTTAGAGAATTCCTTTATTTCATTGAACTCCTTGGCACATGTGACTGTATGTTATCTTATAGTGTGTGTACAAGGCAAACTGCCCCTG